TAATAAATATTTGCATTTTGTTTGAGTAAATTTACTCAAAAAATTTTATTAAATAATTTTTCAAATATTTTTGTGATAAAAAGTCACCATATGTAAAGCTAGGGATGTCAATATTTGACATGATATGAAAATCCGATTTGAACCCAACTCAAAAATTTTGGGTTAGATCCGACCCGATTTTAAAACCGGTCGGATTCAAGTTTCTAGAATCGACCGGTTTAAAAAAAAGGTTGGGTTCAGATGACCCGAAAATCCAAAATCGACTTGTTTTTGACCCATTTGGAAAAATGTGCCCATCATGTGTGTGATTCGACCCATTGAGAACTCGAGTGTTGAGCTGATGTGACGTTGTGACGACTGTGATCCATCATCTGCAAGATCTGCTGTTCGTCTGCGAGCCCGCCTGCTGCCATCCGTCCACGAGATCCGCCATCCGCGAGCCTGCCTGCTGCCATCCGTCTGTGAGCCTGCCTGCCGCCGTCGACATGAGCCCCCCTGCTACCGTCGATGCGAGCCCCATCGTCCCACCTGCTGCCGTCAATGTGAGCCCCGCTGTCCCTCCTCATGCTGTCGACGCGAGCCCGAGTTTATAAAACCATGTCGAGTCAACCCAATAACCCGCCATGTCGGGTCCGAATTTGTGTTTTTGGACTCATTTATAAAATTGAGTCGGATTCAGATCAACCTGCTTGAACTGAAAACCATTTTTGTCACCCCGATGTAAAGCCTGTTCACTTTTTTTTATAATCAGACAAAATCCTCCCCATCAAATTATGGAGACGTGGAAGGACTAACTTCATGCAAGCCCTCCCTTCCAACTGTCAGTTTACGTTGTTCCCATTACAGACGAGTGGCATCCGAGAAATCTGTTCGAGAGCTTCAGTGAGGCGTAATATATTTATTAAAGCTAATCGTCAACCACTTATGTTTGAATATTTACCTGTTGCTGTCAGTTATAAAAAAATAATAATAAGAAAATGGACGCATTGGGCACGCGTTAAGAACAGTGCATTCATAGCTAGCTAACACTTTATAATTATTTTTTGTTTACAAATAACGTGAGCATATGTAGGCTTTCAAGAAATAATTTTAACGTGAATAATAAAAATAATTTAGATGGTATAAATATATAAAATAAATAAATAAAAAATAAATAAAAATATGTTGGCATTAAGGAAATTATAAGAGTTAATTGAAGGTTCAATTGCAAGAGTTAGTGGATAGATGTTTCATTTGATCTTGTATGTATCAATGGGGTGCGCCTATATTCTTTATAAAGAAAGAGGATAGACCATATATATTATGAAGAGTTACGCATTATGATATTTATTATATTTAAGAAAGAAATATCCGTTGCTTAGGAATTGATGATTTATTTGTTCAGTTCGAAGGTGCATACAAATTCTCTAAATAGATTTTAGGTTTATGCAGCGTAAATTGAAAGTAGTAAAAGAGGATGTAGTGAAGACAACATTCAATACGTACATGTCATATTCATTATGAGTTTCTAGTGATATATTTTGGTGTGACGAATTCATTAATGATGTTCAATAGTCTCATGAGTTGATGAAATACAAGCGTATTCAAAGAAAATAAGAGGATAATAATGGCTTATTTGGGATTGGTATTTGATGCATTGAGACGAACAAAATTATATCCGAAATCTCAAATTTGTGAATTATGGTTATGCAGAGGTGTGACATCTATAAATTCTTAGAATGTGTAAGCTATTAGTAAGTGTTTGAGGTCTACAAACATATGATGAGATGTAAATAATTTCATTATTATGGTAGAATATATGATGTTCATTAATGATTACCTCAAATTATAATTATTTTAACCAAACGGATATATAAAGTAATACAGTTTGGATAGACATCAGAATGCAAAGATAATTTTTAGAAGTTGAAGAGTTGCTTGATGTCATAACCCATATTGATTGTGCCTTTTAATACTTTGATATTTAGGTCTTTAGTGATGCATTATTGAATAATTTAAGTCATATTTTAATGCAGTATGGTTAGAAAACAATATAGACATCCACATAATCGAAGATATATGAGAAAAAAAAAATCCTACTCATGATTTGGTGTTAGTAGGGGTGTCAATATTGGACACAACTCGAAAACCCGACTCGAATGTGTCAGGTTGGCCCGAACCCGATGCGGGTCAGGTTCGGGTCCATGAAGTCAACCCGTTTTAAAAAACGGGTCAGCTTCGGGTTGACCCGATTGGTGCTAGCTCAGTTTTGTGTTCGACCCAAACCCGACCAGTGACCCGAAATTGACACCCCTAGGTGTTAGCATCATTTATATTTATATTCAAGATTTAGAGATATTATGTTTATAAAACATGATATTATATATACACGTGTCATTAGAGATTGAATTAATACACATTTACTTTAAAAGAATTGAATCTAAGGCAAAGAAGGTGGTTAGAATTGATTAAAAGCTTTGATCTTAATATTCAAGTTCAAAATCACAAGGATAATGTTATCATTGATTCTTGAAGCAGGAAGTCCAGTAGACTGGCAAATTGAATGATTACTTATGAAATTATTTGATGAGGTTAAACAATTAGAACTAAAGGTGATAATTATTTAGGTTGTAGACTTGTAGTGTAGATATTTATGATTTTATGTGGTGGCACGTTAATAATTTTAGCCAAAAGCTTCAAAACACCATAGGAGAAGATCCACGTTGACTCTTTTAATTAAAGATTTTTTTTTTTTTTTTTAAGTTTATAAGTGTTTTAATAGCCTCAAAATTTAATGATTTTGGGCTCATTGGATTTATTTCATTGAGATGCTTGATTTGATGGGAAGTACGTAAGATTTGGAGATCATATAGTCTTTTAATTACCATCATAAAATTTTTAACTATAATATAAGTGTTTTAATTCGGCTCATTTGGACTCTGATTGAAACCTTTTGTGGTATTGGGTTTGTCTCATTTTGGACATTTAGTTCGACAATTTAAAATTGGAATTTTTATGGTCCAAATTTTACTATCAAAAGTTTTTAATTCATACATTGCTTTGAGATTCATGTTTAATTATTGATGAGTTTCTTCATGATGCATCAATTATAATATTGTTTTTCCAAATATTTTCCTCTTTAGAGATTGTATATATATATATATACACACACACACATAATTCAGAGAGGAGTAAGGCTATAATTTAAATAGAATCTAAGTTATTGATACATTGAAAATGACTTCTTTTATAGTCATGATATATTATATTTTATCGATGTATATTATTGTACACAATTATTTTTATAATGACTATTTTGATGTAAAAAAATTATAATATATATTGCATAGTTGTGTTTAATTAGTTCATCTTATTCTAGTTTCCTATGGATTAATATTGGCTATGTGTTAGTTTTATACAATTTGAATATTATGTGAATTCCTTCTAAATGAATCAAAAAATTTTAAGAGAACTACACATGTATTATTAGTATTTCTAATGTTTTGGATATCATGATTCAAGCTATTGTGGTTCACTATATGTTAGAATCATATAGTGTTGGATAGTGATAATTAACTTGATCATTTTCTTTATAAAGGGGAGATCGAGCTATTAAGACAATGGTGTTCATGTTCATGGCTAACATGCATTTAACGTTAGTCATTGGTTGGTGTCAAGCGATAGTCGATGAGGAATGTTAAAGGTTAGGCAAAATTTCTTGTTATTAAACTTAAGTGTTCTCCTTATAGGAGGAGAGATATAATATTGATAGGAAGAGCACTAGATGTTGGTGCTGGTATGTGTGCTTTTTGGCAGATATTAGATGACGATACATTGGTCGATGGGGAATATTAGAATAGAGCAAAAGTGAATGATTAGTTTGTTTCCTAATATGAGAAGAGACCAAGAGAGTGGTAGGACTATCAATAAACATTCATGAATGGAAAGCATTGAATTTTAGTCTTTGGTAGCCATCAAGCAATGATGGAAAGAGATCATCATATGTTGAACAACTTTGAACAATAAGCTCAATTATGCACGTTATAGGAAGGGTGATTGAGCAACCAGAAAAATGACAATCAAATATTGATGGTTGGCAAAAGCAAATGTCAGTGGGCATCAAATGAAATTTAATAAGGAATGACACAGTTCATAAAGTTTGCTTAGTCATTCTCTTTATAGGAAGAGACATTGAACATCTAAAAAGACTAACGATGGTTGTTGACAATTGTTGGACATTAGATGTTATTTTTTAGCAGTCATCGACCAATATTTGACATAGAATACTGAAAATTGGGCAACGGTTGGTAGTTTGATCAGCAACCCTCCTTACAGGACGTGAGACTAGTGACAGAGAAGATGGTCATTGAAATTTAGTGGCTAGCTGATTTCAAACATTTGTCGGTTTATGGGTGTTAGTGTTAGCACTTAGTAATTGTATGGAGATCATCAGTCTTTTGTTAGCATTATATCATGATTAACTGCAAATATTAAAAGTTTGGTAATGATTGATGGTTGGATTGGTCACTCTCCTTATAGGGAGAAGTGATTGGGTGGTAGAAAAAATTTATGTTCGAAGTTAATGGCTAACATATATCAAGCATTGGTAGGCTTGATTATTTAATATTTTTTGAACATCTCAAACCCTTAATTATCTCTCAATTGGGCGATCTAAAGCTCGTCACATTCATCTTATTATTTAAAACAAAACACAACAAATATATATATATATATTTTTGTCAAAAATGATGTTTTCAATATAATCAATCATATTATTTTAGATTAAAGAATAAAAAAAATAAAATAAAATATAAATCCCAAACCGCCCCAAATATAAAACAAATCTCTGAAGTCTGAACAAAGGGAAAGTTCACTTACGCGGTTAAAACACCCCAAATCCGTAAAACGTCATATTTTAAGACTGTTTAAGAATATATTTAATAATCTTTATTACTAAGATTATAAAGTTAATACAGTCATTATCATCTGCAAATAATCCTTTTTCGCGACTCTTTCTCACAAACTGCTGACTTTTTTTTATTTTCCCACCCTTCAGCCCTCTCTCTCTCTCCTTCCTTTATCCCACCATCCATTGTGGTTGCTTTGCTCTCCCTTAATCCGTTCCGTATAGGGCAAAATTCGATTTTGATTTCTTTTCACTTTACTGCGATCGGCGGTGTGTGGCAGCTTCGAGCACTTTAGATGCGATCGAGGCTGAGAGGAATGGGCTGGAGGTCTTAGAAGAGCTCGGCCTGGAGAAAGATCGCTGTTTTGTGCTACTTACCTAGCGATCTGAGATGGGTTGCTTCCCATGCTTCGGATCGTTGGAAGAGGAGGAGGAGGAGAAGAAGAGAGAGGTGAAAACGGGCGGTGCTGATTTCAGTAAGGAGGCTTCCGCTGCGCCCTCTTCGAACCAAATGACGAGGGTTAGCTCTGGTGATCATTTCTCTCCTCTGATTTTTTAGTTAAGAATTGGATGTTGGTGGATATTTTTTTAAAGCCCAAGTGGGTTTAAGCTTGGTTAGCGTCTATCTGCTCGATCTGGAATGCTCGGTTCTATTTCTGTTTACTCTGATCTGGGTTTCGTGATTCAGTATTCGACAGTAATGGCATGAATAGTTCTGTCGATTGTGCCTTTGTTTCGGTATAGGAGTTTTGGATTCCATAAATATTGATCATGGGTGAGAATTACAGATGTGGAGCTGTCACTAGAAGTATATTTATATTGTTTCTGTGAGTGAATGGTTATTATAGTATGATACATAATTTTGTTGTTTTATATAGCATTTCTTTGATCTACCTGAAAGATTTTGCTATTTTATTTTATTTTATTTTTTCATTTTTCTTTTTGGAAATGTTTGACATTTCAGCAAGTCCAGAAAGCAGTGTTATCCCTGTAGATTTATTGCTGATGAATGGAATAAATTTGTTCTAGGTCATCTTGATACAAATTTGCACCAGGATGGCTATATAATTGACATTTCTTGCACAACCAAGTGACTAGATTCATGTCTTCTATTTTCTTAAGTCCAGATATGTCTTCTGTCAATGGAATTTTATCTTCTATTTGCATTCATGTACACGCTTTAAGATTAGAAATTTAGAACACATGTTACTTAATAAAATCATTCTGATGTGAATTTGTACTTTTGTCATGTTACAATTTTTTCCCTGATAAATTGGGCCTATTGTGGTTCATTTCGATCACTGAATCTTTGAAATCATCTAAAATTGTTGGTTTTTTATGTTCAGTTCTAAACTTACCCTGACATGTCATTTTTTAAAATATCTCCCATCTACTTGTCCTATACTGATGCTAATTGGTTCATATTTTGGAATCTTGTATTATGAATTGTTGCTCCCATATTTCAAAGAATCTTCATTTTTTTTGTTTTGCATGTCCGGTAATCTTTTATTTACTTTTTATGAATTTTTTGCAAAGATAAATCAAAGTCACGGAGTGTTTCAGATTCGAAGAAGGAAACATTGGTTCCTAAAGAAGGAAATGCTACACATATTGCAGCACAAACATTCACCTTCCGCGAACTTGCTACTGCTACTAAAAACTTCAAACCCGAATGCTTATTGGGTGAAGGCGGCTTTGGCCGTGTGTATAAAGGGCGCTTGGAGAGTGGTCAGGTTTGAAGAAATTTCAGTTTAATTAGTAATTTAAATTTCATTTTTATTCATCTGTTTGTGGATGTAGCATTTTTAATAGGTATCTCTAGTACATTGTAATCTAATGTTAGAATTTTCTATGTTTTGTTAGAAAAATTAAATTTGATAGTAAAATTCTCATATGAATCATGGCATTAGGCCATTTACTTTGAGAATTCAATAGATCCCTGATTTTCGGTTCAATAACACATGCGGTTTCCTCTATGTCAGAAGCATTTTGCCCAATTGGTGATTATTCCAATTGGACTATGCTCTATTTTTTCATATTCCAGTTTTGATAATGGTTAGTGTTTTGATATGCAGGTTGTTGCTGTGAAACAGCTAGATAGGAATGGACTTCAGGGAAATAGAGAATTTTTGGTTGAGGTCCTGATGCTCAGCCTCCTACATCACCCTAATCTTGTCAATTTAATTGGTTATTGTGCTGATGGAGATCAGCGCCTGCTTGTCTATGAATATATGCCTTTGGGGTCACTGGAGGATCATTTACATGGTTAGAATTCATCTTTTTTTCATTTTTATTTTTTATTTTTTTGCAATTTGATTTTAGAAATTTCTCTGTAGGAATTCTAATTGTAGACAAAGTTGAAAATGGTTTGATAGCTTCTCATTGTAGATTTACTTTTTAATTTGTGATCAATTTATCTTACGAGCAAATGAAATTCTATTAAACACACACACAAAACACCGGAATATCCTTGTACAGGACTGACACTTAATGTTCAGCTCGGATTATGTTTGATGTGACAGTCATAGTATTGCAAATGTTTTGTCAAAAATCAAGGTATTCGGGTAGTAATACCTCTATATTTTGAGTTTTCGCTCACTAGGTATCATGATATATTGTGTTATTCTGTTGCTTATTATGCTGGCATGTTTCTATACTTCATAAAAGACAGATTTATGGATTATGTCCATTAATACTTCTGTCGAGCTGGATTAAATAAAGCCAACTAAGCTAGGACAAGGATGCTGGCCCTGCTGCAGCACACAATCAAATCTTAACTCAACAAAATATGAATGGTTATCATCTGCACTTCAAGTTGGCAGTTTTAATCATTTTATAATGTTCTCAATTAATGTAAATTTATCATGCTCTCTTTCCTAGTTTACAATATTTTTCTTTGTTAGAAGTCATCAATCTAAAATCTTCTTAAGAATTTACTTTATGAGGTATTCAAATTGGAAAATAAGTTCGGAATTAGAAAAAATAAGTAGAGATTGCATAATAGAAGGATGTTTCTGTACATTTTAAGCGATAGAAGTTAACATTTTCTGGATTAAATTGGAACTTAATTGTGCTTGCACTCCTTTTCTTCGAACAGAATAGTGATTTAGTTCTTTTAGTCATCCAATAAATTATTTATGTTTATCTGGTGGGAATTTGCAGGTGATGTTCAATTATTTAAATTTTGTTTTCTATTTTCCATCCTTTCGGTTTTTGCATTTGGATTTAGTTGGTTGATTGGCTTTCTAGGAGGGCATTTTCTTAGCTAACTTTCTAAAGATTTACAACCTTTCTTGTGCTTGGGAGAACGACTACAATTGCAATCCATGGTATGTGTCATGTCCTGATTGTAAGTAGGGCCGACGTTTATCGCTCTTATTTGTTCTTGTTGGGTGATAGAGGTTCTGAGTAAAGAGAGATGGTTCCTCTGTTATTTTCATATCTAAATGAAAATATCTTTTTATCCCCTTTGTAATTGAAACTAATAACAATATTTTGGAAGGTCTGTTGTTAGCGCATCTTGGACTTAAGCTGGTTCTGAGTCTGATTTAACCATTATATAATTTAGACACTCTCAGATTTTCTTTATTGGAAAGAGTTTCCTCTGTACTTCCCCTTAATGGAACTTTTTGTATTAGGTTTACTATCCTTAATTTAATTTTATATTCCTGTATTTTGAATAGAGGCTTATGCCTAGTGTCATTGTGAATGTCTTTATGGTACTTGCTAGCTTTCTTAAGAACTGCGGATAACTGATTCATGGCCTATTTCAGTGTGAAGGCAAACCAAGAGTTAATTTTTCATCATTTTAGTCAAAATTTAACAGCCTTTAACTAAATGCCTTTTGATGTTTTCATCTAAGTTATATCTTCCAGTCTAAACTCTTACATCTTGGCCGCCATGCACATCATCATACTCATTATCTTATTAATAATTTGGTGTTGTCTTTAAAAAGTATCAATGCGGGATGATCTGAAATCTCCTCTGTTCACTAATCCTGCATTTCATGGTGGCTTCTTTGTTTCGTTATTCTCCTTCAGTTATCCTTTCCTACTTCTCCAAAAGCAAGTTTGGTGGTTCTATTTTGATGTACTTGCGGTTTTATTTCTCCAGATCCAGCGGCTGCTTCTATACTATCTCTAGGTATTGTGAAATCTGCGGCCTCTTGATTTTTATGGTTGATCTTCTACAGTTGGGACTGCTACTGTTAGTAATGTACAAAATTTAAACATTTTTTTTTTAATAAAATTTTAGTTGGATTTGTTATTATTTCTATTTTTAGGTGTCAACTGTTTGATCAAGTGAGAGATGTGAAGATTTTCTGGAGAAGTTATATCTTTGTTCAAGTATAAGACTTTTCTTTCTTTTTCGGCTTTTGGTTATTTTTTTTCTTCTATTACATCTTTTTTCTAAATTTCGTTAATGGATTGATCAAGTGGTTTTACTCAAATTCGATTCAACTTAGTTTTATTTTACTCAATTTTTATTTAATTTGGTTTTTGATAAGAGAGAGAATTTCAACTTGTTGTATGATTTTCTTTGTTCTTTTGTATTTCTAGTTGACGGCTTTTGGATTTTTGTCTGATTTGATTTCCTTAGTTTATTCAAATTTTTATCAAAAGCAGAAATTAGTTATCAGAAGATTAAAGAGTCTGTGTCCTGTAATTTTTTCACTTGTATCATAATTTTCATTTATATATATATATTATTTTTCAAAGTGCAGCACGCATAGCCAAGTGAAGGTTTTTTTTAGCTTCAAAGGGCACATCATAAAGTGGTGCTTTAATTAATAAAATGGCATTTTTTATTATGTAGACCATTTATACATGTTACAAAAAGTTCAAAAAAATATAATATTAAGTCAAATTAAGTAAAGTTAATATCTAGCTATATAAGCCAATCAATTAGAATGTACATGATTCATACATCTAGACTAAATAATTAATCGCATAAGGAAAGTCAACACATTTCTAGTGAGCCTCAATGCATGAATGAGGGAAAAATTGGAAGTAGTTTTCTTTCAGGTTGATTATACTTGTTTTAACCAAATATTTCTTAATATTTAGACTAATGTTCTCTAGATATGGGGTTGAAATTTTATATGAGCATAATCCCTCATAGTTCCGACCCCACGTAGTGGGATAAAGGTTTGATGTTGTTGTTGTATAATCCCTCATAGTTAATTATCCTGTTCTCTCACTCGTGGGAAGTACTCTTAATTGAGAAGGTTACTTAGACTCAAATTGCAAGCTTAGATTTGATAGTTATATGTAAATTTAATTGAGTAGGGAATGTTCGGGAGAAGGGTGGTAAACCTAATTGAAATCTCTTGGTTCTATCATCTTTATTATGCCCAAGATCATGGGCTTTAAGCCATAAGATTTTTGTAGCTTGATTAGTAACCATGAGTTAGCTTATGTAAGGTATCCCGAATAAATTAGATTAAAATTGTAGATGCATCAAAGATTTGCTTTCAAGATTAGCATCAAATCATTTACTAGCTAGCCATGCCAGTTTTGATGAATTGTTTTGAGGAATTTGAGCTGTAACGTCCAAGGAGCCTAATTAATGACCATGGTTTCCATCATCTCAGGCATCCAAAGTAGTTTGTGTTAGAAATGTGAGTGCTTCAAAGGCGCGCTTTCAAAATTAGTATTGACTCATTTACTGAAAAATGGCTAGTTGTACTAGTTTTTTTTAATAACTCAAGAGCATAAAGTTTCATCGCTTTTGGCATATAAATAGTGGATATGACTAATAAGTGCTCAGATGCATGATCATTAATTATTCAAGATTTTTAGCTTAACTTAAAAAGATTATCTGAGATATGTGGGTTTTTATTTGTTTATATGATTTTACTTGGGTTTTCTTTGATTAGTGGACTTCCTAGCATAGAAGTTGATCCGAATTTTATTTTGGTTGGGACTGACTTCCACTGGAAGCCAAGCTTTGATTTAGTTGGTTTGTTTGCTTTGTCTCAACCTAAATTAATTTAGATGTGTCTTACATTCATTGGAAAACTCATAAGCCAGACTTATAACCTTGCTGAAGAGGAAAGCTTAGTGATGGGTCTTATGGCGTTATATTGAGTTAAGGTTGTGCATTGTAGGGCTTGATGCTCTAATTATAAAATGACCTATAAATTATGGGCTTTAGAAGATTAAAGAGTCTGTGGCCTGGAATTTTTTCACTTGTATCATAATTTTCTTATATATATATATATATATATAAAATTTTTTAAAGTGCAGCACGCATAGCCAAGTGAAGGTTTTTTTAGCTTCAAAGGGCACATCATAAAGTGGTGCTTTAATTAATAAAATGGCATTTTTTTTATTATGTAGATCATTTATACATGTTACAAAAAGTTCAAAAAAATATAATATTAAGTAAAATTAAGTAAAGTTAATATCTAGCTATATAAGCCAATCAATTAGAATGTACATGATTCATACATCTAGACTAAATAATTAATCGCATAAGGAAAGTCAACACATTTCTAGTGAGCCTCAATGCATGAATGAGGGAAAAATTGGAAGTAGCTTTCTTTCAGGTTGATTATACTTGTTTTAACCAAATATTTCTTAATATTTAGACTAATGTTCTCTAGATATGGGGTTGAGATTTTATATGAGCATAATCCCTCATAGTTAATTATCCTGCTCTCCCACTCGTGGGAAGTACTCTTAATTGAGAAGGTTACTTAGACTCAAATTGCAAGCTTAGATTTGATACTATATGTAAATTTAATTGAGTAGGGAATGTTCGGGAGAAGGGTGGTAAACCTAATTGAAATCTCTTGGTTCTATCATCTTTATTATGCCCAAGATCATGGGCTTTAAGCCATAATATTTTTGTAGCTTGATTAGTAACCATGAGTTAGCTTATGTAAGGTATCCCGAATAAATTCGATTAAAATTGTAGACGCATCAAAGATTTGCTTTCAAGATTAGCATCAAATCATTTACTAGCTAACCATGCCAGTTTTGATGAATTGTTTTGAGGAATTAGAGCTGTAACGTCCAAGGAGCCTAATTAATGACCATGATTTCCCTCATCTCAGGCATCCAAAGTAGTTTGTGTTAGAAATGTGAGTGCTTCAAAGGCGCGCTTTCAAAATTAGTATCGACTCATTTACTGGAAAAGGACTAGTTGTTCTAGTTTTTTTTAATAGCTCAAAAGCATAAAGTTTCATTGCTTTTGGCTTATAAATAGTGGATATGACTAATAAGTGCTCAGATGCATGATCATTAATTATTCAAGATTTT